ACAACGAAATTACAATGAACTCAAGGTGCCAACACGCAACAACAAGACAATATAAAAACAAGAAATGGGACTTAAATAGACATGATACGGAATATGTACATAAATGAATAATAAATTAAATTGCACGATTCCCCTCATATTGCACGGAAGGCTTGTATAATTTAAATATTAGCAGCGTTTAGTGCACATATGGCCCTGGGAAAAAAACTGAATTTGAGTCTGTTTGTCCGGGAAGACATGGAAGCGTCTGCCTGAGCGCAGCCGTACAAAGTGCTTGTTACCCGGGTGGTGTGGATCCTTGAGGATTTTGACTGCCTTCTTAAGGCAACGAGAGCTGTACAGTAGGGGAGGGGGCAACCGATGATCTTCTGGGCCGAGTTGATGACCCTTTGGAGCGCTACCCTCTCTGCGGCTGTGCAGCTGAGGAAGCACACGCAGATGCAGTAGCTGAGGATGCTTTCCACGGCGCAGCGATAGAAGGACACAAGCAGGTCCTGTCTGAGGTGGTAATTCTCAGGAAGTAGAGTCTCTGCTGCGCCTTCTTGACGGTTGCCATGGTGTTGGTCCTCCAGGACAGGTCCTCCGCCAGGTGAACGCCCAGGAATTTGATCACTGAGACTCTCTCCACACAGCCTCCATCAATGTACTGGGGCTGCATGTTGGTGTTCTTCCTCCTAAAGTCACTGATCATTTCCTGGGTTTACTGAGACCTATATTATATGCTTAAAAAGTATAATAGGAGACCTTTAGCTATAAATACTGCATTACTACGGACCAGTTAAGGTGCGTTCACATCGGATGCATCGCTTTACTCGGTGGTGGCTTCGTGTCCAGTGTGAACGCACCATTAGCAGATACTGTGTTTGCATGGTGTAACAGAATATGTTGTTTATGTTCTTCCAGATGTGTGGACAATGGAGAGAGTAAATCGTAGGTTTTTAACCTCTGGTAAACATTTCCCGTTATCGCTTATAGATTCGCTAACAGCTAACTAACATGCACCTTCTTCACAGCCTAACGCCTGAAATGACGGTCCCATTTGGATTTTGAATAACACCTTGAAGCTGACCATTTTCTTAACACTAAAACAATGATTGCCTAATTTTAGCCTAGCAAGCCTGTCTCAACAGCATGGTGCCGCCGTTAAAGTCATTTTCTTTCCAATAGCAAATATAAAAGCGAAAGGGCAAAGAATAGATATAACCTGTGTTCAAGTCCTCTAATGTAAACTGCAAACATTAGCATGTCTGGCTAACTAGTTTACAAGCAAATGTTCAATAAGTGTGCATGCCACTTTACTAAATACTGTTGTTATGTTGTCTCTATCATTAATGTCTCTTTGCTGTGCTGTAACGATGTAAATGTCCCCTCTGTCGGACTAATCAAGGAATTATATATAAATTGTGATTTATACATTGTTCAATGTGTTTCAGGTTGTTCTCCAGTCTCGGTGAGCTCCACACTATTTCCCAGCGAGGATTCGGCTCGGGCTATACAGTCCGACCGGGAAGTCGATACCCCGTGATGCGCCGAAGCCCCTCCCCCTCTCCCTCCCCCTCCGATAGGTCGATAGGAATCACCTCCTCCTCCGCCCCTGGCTCAGAAAGACCCGATTTGAGCTCCGGTCGCGGTCTAACCATCCTGAAGTCGTCCAGTCTCAGCCTCCCCTCCGAACCAAAGGAAGTTCGGTTCGTGATGCGGAGCGCCAGTGCGAGAACGCGCTCCAGATCTCCCTCTCCGTCCCCCCACGCCTCCCCATGCCCCTCCCCCGTCCTCAGCGGGCCTCTCTTAGCCCTGAGGCCATGGAGACAGCGTCCACTCAACCTGTGGAATAAATACGACGTTGGCGATTGGCTGGAAAGTGTCGGACTCGCTGAACATCGCCAACGCTTCCAGGAGCACGAAATCGAGGGTTCCCATCTCCCCGCGTTAACGAAGGAGGATTACGTGGAGCTGGGCGTCACCAGACTGGGTCACCGGATCAACATCGAGAGGGCCCTCCGAACGCTGCTGGACGGATCCACTTGACCCCTGACCTGCCAACCCTTAGACACCCTGAACTGTGACCTCATTACAGACATTAAACACTAAACGAACGCCATCTCTTTGACTAGAAAAACCTTAACAGTGATTGAATCTTTAGACCTTTTTACCAACGTGGAGTTTGTATCTCCGAGTGATCTCGCTGACTCTTTGTCTGATCAGCTCTTTGATCAATACATACACCGGAGAGTGGTAGCACCGAGGTCAGTGTCCAGTGTCTAGCCTTAGTGGTATTTATTGAAGTAATGCATTCCCCCAGAAACCATGTGTTTATCAATCACTCATCTCAATTACCTTGAATTCTTAAAAAAAGGTAGTTTTTGTCGCAAGCCTCCACGGTGAACGATGAATTTAAAATTATAGTCTTGTTGAATTGAAGGCTCTTTAACAAGTGGTGCAATAAAAGTCTTGTTTATTAACCCTACTTTTTGAAAACCCTTTGGAAAAGTTGCACGCCTGCAAAAGTGTGTTGCGATTATGAAAGTTGTACCGAAAAATATGAAAGTCAGATGATGATCATGATCCAAGTTACAACTGCATCGATAAGTCGATCGAGGGAAAAATATTGCCTCTAACTATGTCAGTGGCCAGTATTTAGCTTTAGTTATTTATTGAAGTACTTAACCAAGAAAGTACTTTAATCTTTCACCTCAATGAATTTGAATTCTTAAAGAAAACTATGTTTTTCTGGTATGGTGAATAGTAATTCCAAAATCAAAGAAAAGTCTTGATGAATTTAAGTGAATAGGGGCCAAACATTGATTTAACAACCTCTCACCAACTTGCACACAATTTGTGCACTATAACAGATGTCTGATTTATCCAGGTGCTTGCTCACTATTTCCAAATAAAAGTCCTTTTATCTAAAAACATACAACTAAAAACACTTTGGGAATTTCAGAAAAGTTTATTTGGTTTTGGCCTGAAAAAGACTTGGACTTTGAGTCTTTATAAGTTCTAAAGCCAGCTCATAACATCCACATAGTGTTCTGTAGCATACCGTTAGCATACATAACGTTAGCATACATAACGTTAGCATACTAAGCTAATCACTGGACACAGACCTCTATTGTTATTATCTAGAGGTGAAAGACATGGATCAAAGAGCTGATCCGACAAACTGTAAACAAATATAATGACGGGTTATTTTCCTCGTGCCATTCTGCTTCCCCGGGCGACGTTATCTGGACGATTAGCGAGTCTCTACATCAAAAACCACGGGAGATATGTTGAGGATATATCTCCGTCTTTCTCGTGACTTCTTTTCTTCTGTTTTTTAAATATCACCCGTGACGAATCTGTGTTTATTTAGTTTTTCATATCTTAACGCTGATCATTTAGAATTTATGAATAACAAGTAATAATAATGTGGTGGTGATGACTTTACAGAGTTTATAATAGTTTGGAAAAATGAATTTTTGAGTTCCTTATGATTTGACAATGAGTTGAATTTCTGAGGTCGTTGAATTTGAATTTCCGGCGGCGTTCTGAAACTCATGATGATTTGTCAATGAGTGTGACTTTGTGCTGATGATGTGCTGTGTGTTTCAGGGAGAGCTGCAGCAGAGCTCCAACTGGTTTCTAACCTGCTTTACCGAGGGCTTACTGTACATGGTGCTATCTGTTTAAAGCCATCTGTACAGAACAATACCTTCCTCCTTCCCCTCCTATCCCTTCCTTACACTCACACACCAAACTCTTAACGCTATTAATCCTAAATGAATCAATCAAGTGCGGCTAAATCACCAGGAACAGGCCATACATGGAGTTTCCTCCCTGCCATATTGGGGATTTTGTCCCTGCCATACGTGGAGTTTCCTCCAGACCATATAAGGAGTTTATAATAGACATCTTAAATGGAGTTGCCCAATTACAGTTTAATATGCGCCTGATATTATCCAACAAACTGGTCTCCTACAAAAAAACTGCATTCTCAATTACGTTAATTCGCTTTATGGGAATTTGTAGCCAATTAGCTTGGGTCAAAAAGACCTCATCATGACAATATCACCCTATTACAGTTTTTAACCAAATATTGCTTGGATTTAACCATTTTATAGTTGGCGGGTAACCAATTAGTCAACAAACTAATACTACATCATCACTAAATAGTCTTGCCTTGCAATCTTGAAATGTGATTTTCCGTTTTTACCCATTTTACACACAATTCAGTGTTATATTACCCAGATATTGGTATGTAAAGTACTACCCAAAAATTCATCGGATATATCGCCCAGCCTTATAAAAAAAAAGCATTTAATTAGAAATTAATTAAAAAGCTAATGCTAGCCTTTTAGCATTGTTAGCTGACACCTTTTATACTTAAAATAAAGTTAATTTAACACCATTTCTCTAAATTTTAAAATGTAGTTTCTACATCTGTACCATAAAGAATATAAATTCCAAGTGAATTAAATATCTGAAGTCACGAAAAGGTGTACTTCTTTAACTTGTTCTACTTTAATTAGGAATCTGAGTTAATTATTACTTTAACGGAGACACCTACGATACAACAACTCCATTATTCCAAATGTCTTCACACAGTAATTTAACAACACAATCTCACTGACATGTTCCTCTTGAATCCCCCCTTTCTAAAGCACAATCAACTTGCCAGTGCCTGTTTCCACAAAACAACGAATATAACCGCGTTTGTATATCGCTTTTTACTCCCAGCCGAAGTACCTGAACTCGAGCCGAACCACAATCATGAATCCCAAAGTTGTAAAAGTTCACGGTGCCATTTTCCTGAGAGAGTTATAGATTGTATAGTCTTTGTACAGCACAATACAGTAGACTTTATAGTCTGTATAATACATATTATCCTAGAATAATGTAGCTATAGTGTAATATGTAAAGTATAGTAAGATGATGAAATGTATACTGGAATATTTTTGGTAGACTGAAAGTCTAAAAAGGCTTTTGTGATATTCAGCCTTTTGTAAACAGCCACACATCAGCTGTTTATCTTCAGTTTACTTTATTAATAAGTCTGAATCCACTTGTATGATTTTATAAATGTTATCTATATTAACTTTATCATGCTATCCATTTATAGAAGTTCCAAATAATTACGGAGAAGGGGGAGGGGAGGGAAAATAGACAAAATCTCAGAATTTGCAAGATTAAAATGTTATATTTACAAATATATTTAATATTTTCTGGTGTTATAAATCAAAATTGTGTTGGAGGAAAATAAGGGATTAGTTAAAGGGAATAGACGTTACAAAATCCTGATTATTTTTTCAATTTTTACAGAGAATTTACCATTTTTTTCCTGCAAATGTATAATTTTATAATCTCAGATTTGATCCGATAATCTTTCTCCAGATTTTACCATTTTATTCTGGGTATTTAAGAATGAGGTTTTTTTTAAAGTACCAAATAATGTGTATTTTTGTGGGAGGGGTTTTGTTTTCCAAGTTTCCCAATTAACACAAGCACCCTTGAATTAATTGACACAGCTGATGTTGAATTTCAAGGTAACCTTAAGACTGACTAGTTCGTACAAAG